CATTTGAAACTGTCATTGACCTCAGCTGTGCAGAACAGTGATGTAACAGAATTACTTATGCATTTTCCATTTTGGTTGTTGATTAGCTTTGGGTGGTAGAGGTGGGACAACTACCAAGTTGAGAATCCTATTGGAGAATTTTATGAAGCGTATTTTGGGATTGGATGAGCACCATCTGGTGAAACTGACCCTGAGCAGAGTGTCTCTCTACCAGCATTCATCCAGCTTGAGCCTCAATTCCCATTTATCTTTTAACAAGAAAAGAGAAGGTCCTTAAAATCAAATCCTCAAGATAAACTGAGATTTCACATTTTTGTTCACTTACAAAACGTTCTGCATATCAACTCAGGATACTGTATAATAGAGGCTCCCAAACAGTGGAGAGCCTCCTCAGCAGGATGAAGGAGAGTTGAAGAAATGAGTACAGAGGGAATGTTCTAAAAAATAACTGGAACTCAGATATTATATTCCAGCCTGCTGAACTGCCCTGGTCACAACATGGTCAGCAGTAACAGTGACAGCAGGGGCTGTGACTCACAGCTCATGGAGGCTAGGTGCATTTTAAAATCAGATAAACCAGTTTGCTTTTAGAACATGCACGGTTTCTCTGAGTCATAACTCAACAGAGATATTTATAATAAGCAGGTCTGCCCCGACAGTAGATTTTTTTTTTTTAAATTTTAAATCAAACTTTGATCAAACTAATTTTAAAATAGTATTTGGTCATTCTAAGGGGTTTCTGGTCAGATGTGAGGTCCCCTACTAAAGTTTCATTGGCAGGCAGGCTAAGAGACAGTTGTTGGTCGTCTTTATTGAGGTTCATTCTACAGAAATCTTGTTAAGACTTTCTAATGATAGATCTTGTAGACCAAAGTGTTTCTTTGGTTCATCTTGGCTCAGGGTAAACGAGTTGATCACATTTTCCCCATGTCTGTGATATCTATGTTTATGTTTAGTGTCTGTTCTCTTTCTTTGTTGTTTTGTTGTTTTATGTTTTCATTTCTTCTTCACGTTTTGTTTTTACTTCCTTTGTGTGCAGTACTTCCTGTCTTTGTCTTTTTCGCCACTTTTACGCTTTAATTTCATTTACACAAGTTAGTTCCTGTCTTTGATTTTTGTCTCCTCCTTCCTTGCTGCTTTGTTTCATTTTCACTCACGTTTTACTTTTGCATGTGGTTAGATTAAAGCTCTAAATGAGAAATTTTAAGCAGAAAAAACTATTTAGTTAGGTTTCAGCATCATTACTAAATGGAAGGTCCATTGGTTAGTTTATCTTGATTTCCTTTCTTTTTTCTTTTAATTTTAGCTAAAAAAACAAACAAAAACAAACTCTACCCTAAAAAAATGTCTTTCTAAATTCACCGTGGCTTACACTTCCTGGGGATGTCATTACTTAATCTCCATTTTGAACTCACCAGAGATTCATGACTTTAAGTTCCCTTGTGTATCAAAGAGATCCTCTGATCTTTATAGTACATTAATGGATACATTGCAAATATTTTATGCTCAGCATCGAGCCCATTTCAGAAGAACTCTCATTAAGCAGCTCCAGAGAGCAGGTGCTGTGCTGTTGTGAAACTACTTTGTGTTGAGACACACTCCCGTTTTCACGGTGAAAAAGAGACAGAAGTTTATTTCCAAATTGCTCCAGGACCATCATACACAGTAGGTCAAAACATGTATATTGACCAATAGGTTGTTCACTGATGTAGTTAGGGTTAATGCTGGTGTTTAAATAAACGCGTGGAGGTTTGCTGTTTTGTAAGACATGTTTGCTGGTAACATGGCTTCTAATTGGCATGTTTCCAGTTAACTTGATTATTTGAGGAGGAATAAGTTGTGCTCCTCAGGCTGTGTTTTGGTACACTGTTTGGTCTCACAGCTCCTCATTAAACTGTCTAATCACACGGATTTCATGGATTCTGTCTGCTGCAGCTTACTGCGTTGCGTGACAATAATTGTGAGATGGTTTGGATAAATAATCAAAAAAAGATATCTGAAGGTGAATTTTGAGGCTCTTGGCCTTCTCCTGCCTGGATTATTCTGATTCCTTTTGTCTGGGGAGTAGGTTTACACAAATCTTTGCTAATCATATACCATTCACAGTTTGTCTTCAAGTATGTTCCCTTTGAGTGAGGTTTGGAGAAAATAGAACTGCTTTCCAGTTGCTGTTGCTGCCTCATAAATAAAACACTCAGCATTGTTTATGATGACTATTTTGCGTCCCGCTATGTACTAACATCATCTGTTATGTCAAAAATACTTTTGTACACTCTCCCGAGACTGGTTACAACCTGTGTGGGTTTTTGCTTTGTGATTTAAACCTGCATTATGTTACCTACGTACATCATTATTCAGCAGCAGTGGACTAGAATCCATAATACATTCTACTGTATACAGAAGTTCATTTGCAGAGTTTTCTTACTGCGATGTCTCTCGCCAGCTCTCGGCATGAATATTTACCTCAGCGACTCACTCTGTTGCAATAAGTATCGCAGTGGAACAGCCTCGAAAAGCGTGTAAGATAAATTCTGCCTAACCCTTATCCTTTATTGGAAGCTGTTCTAAAGTTTTGTAACTTTTAATCAGGTGATTGAATCACGTGACAACCAAACCAAAACAGGTGCTGTGTGAAGAAATGAGCAAATAATTATTTATTGCTCCCAGAAAGCTGTAACTTTCTGGGAGCAATAAATAAGTGAAAATTGGAGCCCTGCAGTCTGCGAGCTGTTTATTTTCTTGTTTCTTCTTTTTTTGTGTCTGTTAACTAAATTGACTTAAAATATGCAATAAACACTTCCCGGGGGGGGAAGGCCGTAATAGTATAGAAACTGCAAATTGTGTTGTATGTAATGACTTGTAATACAAATTGCAAATGGAAGTATGTGTATGATGTGCATAGAGGACATACTGCACAGTACTGAGTTTGAAAATGTGTCAAAATGATGAATATGAACCTATTTATGAGACTTTATGAAAAGATTGTGGCAACGGGCAACATGAAAAGGTGACAGTAGATGTTTTTAAAAGAGAAATATAACCTCATGGTTCCCTGCATTTCTTGCCGCATATAGAATTGAGTTTAAGGTGTGTTTATTTATTTTTAAAGCCATACAAAATTGACCTTGGTTTACAACCACAGGACCTGCGCAAGTATTCTTGAGTCATGTCATCTTGTGATGACGACATTGGCTACATGGTCATTTTGAACCAAATTTATTGTTACACTTCTAATCAACAGAAAATAGCTCAGTGTGTAAAGCATGAATGTTGAACTTAGGTAATCTCATATGCATGTTTTCAATTTTTTAGTTAATTCCTTCTTTTATTTTTGTTTTTTTATGTTTATTTTTCTGGCTTTTAACCTGTTTTCTGTCTGCTTTTTTATTGTTTACTGTCCTATAATGTGTACTGCACTTTCTTTGATTTGATTTTTGTGTTTTAATAAGAGGTACAGCCTTTCTCCCAGTGCAGGGACCTCTGTGGTGGAGCAGTTCAACACAGAAATTATGAAATATTTACATTAGATTTTTAGCTAAATGAGTTTACAGGTTAGGCCTAAAGAGATGCCCGAAATCCAACTTGTTTTTTTCAAGTATATGCTTACTCTTAGAGTTTATGTATGGTACTTTAAGAAGATCTGTGTGTAAAAAGCAATGTGTCAAAGGCTTGTAATAATTTTGACTATGGATCACAGTGGTATCACAGATTTTGCTCTCAGTTATTGATGAGTGCAGTTCTGTTCAGAAATGCAGTATTTCCTAAAACATTTTAAAACAGCATAATAAAAACTGACTGACAGTTTGCGATTAACTGGCTTTTTCCTACATGATCACATCTATTGTTTCTTGTGTTATATCTCACTCTCAGGAGCGACATTAGACATTAAGATTAAGACATTAAAGACATTAAGATTTATCAGATGAGTAACAACGAAAATCTGTTAAAGACTATACTATTATTCCTATTATCCCTCTGAAAGGAGGGAGTATCTGTCTGTCTGTTTATTAGCAGTGTAGTGTCCACAGTGTACAACATATCATTTTCAAATTTTGTGTGATGGTAAATACCAGTGTTTGGTGAAAATCAGGTCAATGTCAAAATCAAGGTCACACCAAATATGAAAATCAGTAAAAACATACCTACATTACCCCCAATTGTTTATGGATGGTCTTCAAACTTGAAAACTAGGCTAGGCTTGGGTGACATGAGTACCTAGGTTGGCTAATAATTTGACCTTGACCTTCATTGTTAGTGCCCAAGGTCGAGGCCTAGGAGGCCAATCATTTCAGCCAATTCTGCTCCAATCATATGAGTAAAGATGATAAAATACACCATTTTAGTATCTAATGCAGGGGTTGCCAACTCCAGGCCTCGAGAGCCGGTGTCCTGTAGGTTTTAGATATCACACTGGGTCAACACACCTGAATCAAATGATTAGTTTATTAAGCCTCTGGAGAACTTCAAGAAATGTTGCAGAGGTAATTTAGCCATTTAAATCAGCTGTGATGGATCAAGGACATCTAAAACCTGCAGGACACCGACTCTCGAGGCCTGGAGTTGGACACCCATAATCTAATGCTTTGAGGTCAGGGTTACATGCATTAGGTGAAGTAGAGCACAAAAGTCAAGCTCATGAGCCGCATCAACCGATGGCTCACCTAACACTCCTCTACACATCCAACAGGCAAACACATGAAGATTTTAAGCTGCTTTAGTCTGCAAGCCTCTTTGCAATGTACCACCACACCATTTCGTCCTTAAGTTCCACATCTAATTGAATCAGTCATTAGTCTTTGTTTTTTCTACTGGAAGTGTAAAAAGCTATCCTCTCATCACCTTTATTCTATAGAATGAACGCTGGACAGTGGCATGCTGCCAAATATAAATTAATGCTGATGGGCTAAAGCTTCTCCTGACTGAATTACATTTGTTAACATCTAGACGTGAATTGATTAAAGATAATGTCTTCATGTGTTTCACCTCTTTTTCTGTGACAGGAAGTGATGTCAGTGGAGGAGGAATCCACCTCATGTTATTGCCTGATGGACTCGACAAGCTGCCACTTGCTGCTGGACCAGCCAGGTTCTTACGCCCTCGTGGGTGAGCCCCTGACGCAGGCTGCCATCAAGAGGCTGAAGCTGGCTGTGTTCGGAACCATGGAGGTTGGCTCCATGAGCTACACCTTGCGGGTGTACTGTGTGGACGACACGCCACATGCCTTTCAGGTGCGCCCTTTTTGTTCATGGTTGAGCTATGATTGTGCTTTCCATCTTCCAGGGTCTAATTTATCTGCAAGAGGCCAGTAATAAAGGCCTGACTAGGGTTTAGCTTCCTTATAAACTGCTAATTCCCAGGGCAAAATTAATTTAGTGCTGGACTGGTGTATTTAAAAACAGCTGCTAAAGTGGAACCTTTCAATGCATGGCTGCACTCCCCTATGCTTTGAGATAGTTCCCCGTTTTATTTGAGCTCTCATTTATTGGAGGTTATTTTTATTTTTTAATGTACAAAAAGAATGTGTCAGGTAAAATGTTTATATATGGAACATTTGAAATGGGTCGTAGCTGCAATGCCAGCATCTCATGGAAATATATTTACAAGACATACTTACAACTCCACCAATGAAGGGTTTATTACACACATTGCTCATTTCTATATGTAAACCCAGTACATTCATGCAGGTTTGTTTCTTAGTAGCATTTCCCTTTACATGTTTTTGCCCTTCTTTTTTTTTTTTTAATTTGGGTACATGATCCACAACTTTACTGTTTCTGTTTACTCTCAACAGGCAGGCAGCTACTTATAGTAATCTAAAGGCAAGCACTCTGAGTTAGCAAGTGATGGATTTAGTCGTCTAACAGTCACATTACCTTTATGTGCTTGTAGAGACTTTAAAAAGTGAAAATTGCCACCTTATTTTGGAGTGCACAAAAAACTTTTAGTAGTGTCAACTTTGAAAGGCGTTATGACATCAGTCATATGTTACGCCCTGCCCATAGGTGGCCAGAAATTTTCAGGTTAGTGCAGATTTAAAGGATCACTGATGTTTTTTGGTCTGACACTTGCCTTGATGAAATAAATGGACTTCCATGCAATTAATCTTACTCTGAGAAAGAGCCCCCCAGGTCTTGTAGTATATGCTGTTTCCACTGGTGTGTTTAGTGAAGCATAATCTTTGAGCTGGGCAAACCTCCTGCTAGTTCTCTGTCCTGATGTTTGTCAGCAGTTGTCACTTGGGTTTTCTACTTTCGCTTCCAAATCAATAAAAACAAACAGACTTGGCTGATTTCTATCTGCTGGATCTACATAAACTGTTTTTTCAGCTAAATGCTCTAGTCATACCTTGCACTCTCTATTGTGGTACAGTACAGAGTTTGACTTTGAACTATTAGCACACCTTTTCTGGCCATGATCAACAAAAGAAGACATTATTTGTCATGTTTTACACCTATGGTAGGATTTTATTGTGTTGTATTCCCAGCTTTTAAAAAGGAAATTTCACAAATTCAGTTCCAGCTATTGACAGTATAAAAGATGGATGTAGCTGCTGTGATGTCACCTGTTGGCTTCTAAACTCACGTTTTGAAACCTCAAGGTGAACATGTCCGCCATCGTTATTTTGGTTGAAAGAGACTGCATAAGAGAAAACCTGCAGTAAAACAACTCTATTGAAAAACCATCCAACACTGGACATTAACAGCAAGACATCTTGATCAAGCTAAGACCTAATTCAGAGCAAGGTAATCATTCAGTCACATGGGTAAAAATAAGACAGCGGCCTCCTCTATACATCTTGAAAAAAGATGGGTGGCTTCTGGTGATTATATTAATTTTTTTTCCAAATTTCTGCAACTAATTGCAACTTATGGTGACTAAATGGTTGCACAGCTTGAGAGTATTGCACAGTCCACGACTGCTTTTGACCACAAGGTGATTGCATAGGTAGCCTGTTAGGAAGCAACCCTTCTGCACACAGTTGCAGTTTGACTTTAAAAAACTGCAATCACTCTCAGAGAGATTGTGCAATGTTTGCAAATAATTGCTGTCTAATTTACAAATCCAGTCTGAATGAGTCTTTGTCTATGAACACAACTCCAAGGGACTCGAGTCAGCTGGCTGCCAGCTGGTTGCATTCAAGCTATAGAACATGAAGGTTGCTGAGTGCAAATGTAACAGTAACTGTTAAATGTAAATTTCTGTCTATGTAGACAACAACAAAACAAACAAAGTTAAGCTCTGTAAATGACTTAATTTTTTTTCTTCTCGCCTCGTGCCACTGTTAAGTGATTTTCATGTTGTGTTGTATTTGCTGACTTAATTTCCAGGACTCTCAAATTGAAAGTTCAGTCTTTTTGCAAATGTCCACCAACACTTTAGCTATGTATTTATACCTTTAAACACAAAGATGAATATTTTCCACTCTGTAAGGAGAGTGCAGATTGCACTGTAGGCTGTGGCCCACATTCACAATGAGCATCTTGTGTGTGGTTGTTGCCTGCGCTCTCTGAGGCAGCAGGGACCGCAACATGTGCACTTTCAGATACGAGTGATTGCACATTCATTACCACAGAGAAACAATACAGCAGTGTTTTAAACACTCTGTAGCAACTTGATGGATGCTCTTCTTGTTCTTTTAATAGAGTCAGACATAGTGTGCCGTACTGTAATCGCTCCCATTCAAACGTTCACCAATCATTCTTTTCTAAAAATCTCATTTGATTTGATTATCCTTCAGCAACCTATAGGGTTTTAATCATTGAAATTTCATCAGTGAACATGAGGGAAATCAAGTTCTCCGTCCTCCTGAGAGAGGCTTGAGTAAAGGAAGACAGAGCTGAACAGAGCATAGCGAGGCTCGTGACTGACTACCTCCTGACCAACCTTCTGCCATGCTGCCAACATCAGCGGCAGCTGGCTTTAAAATGCATTCTGGATTTGGTTTATGAATTCCCAGCCTGCCGAGCAGATGCCAGACTTTAGCATGTCCCCTGGGCTCCTGTTTGTTAGCGCCACATCTCTGCTGTGTGTTTCCCATGCTCCAGCACAAAGTCAATCACAGACCGGGATTCTGGATCAACAGGAAGCCTCATGCAACACAAACACTTGTGTGACAGAGCTATTTTTCTTTTCTTTTTTTTTTCTTTTTTCTAGTTGAAAACAAAAAACAGAAAAAGAAAAATTGCAGGATTCTGTTTTCTTTGACACAGCACAACGTATGAAAAGAAATATGAAAAAACACAAATGGAAAAAACAAACATGCAATGTCATTCTTTATGTTTTGCATCTCTTCTAAGACCTTTGTTACATACAGTGGTTTACACACGAAGATGCCCACATTCACACTTGGTGCTAAATAAATACAAAAACTACATCACGGCACCAGTAAATTGGTAGATGATGACAGCTCTAAAAGATACTTGGAATCTTTTGGAGCTGTGTCCCGGACATTTCTCAGCATTCAGTGGGTGCATGATGTATGGGAAGTTGCCTTGGGGTCTTCTTCATGTTTCTCTCTTCCTAAGCAGATTTTGCAGTGTGGCATGCACATTATCCGGCTTTCGGGCAGCGCTGTTGCAGCTCTAGGGTGTGATTGGTCTCCATCAGTGTTTAGGGTGTGTGGTGTATTTTAAAGCAACATCCACATGAATGCCATGACCCAAGATTTCCAAGCAGACGATGTTCATTTTACCACCATGGTTTTATTTTTGTGGTCCATGTGTGCATAACTCTATTAGCTCTTATACACAGAAAATAAGTATTTGGAAGACATGTTACTTTTTTGTTTTCTCAATCTGCAGCATCACTGACCCTTTAAAAACCACCTAATTTTGAATTTAGCCATTAACAAGTCTTATATCACCAACTTGTAACAACAAAGGCAAAAAGAGAGTGTCTTGTTCCTTAGGAATGAGCAACCCCCTCCACCAAAAGTAAGTCCATGTCCAAGGCCACAGCATTTAGTCATGTTGGAGAGAAGGTGGATAAAACTTGCTACCTGAAAATACCACCTACATTAGTATTCTGCTGGCAGACCTTTCCTAGCAATGAAAATGCTCCTAGAAAATACTTTTCACCTCAACCTTTAGTCTTTAGCCTTGGCAGAGAATCACTCCTGAATTTTAACATCAGCTAGAAATAACTTCTAAAAATTAATCCAATGCTTTTTATCACAATAGATCCTTGTGACCTTCCGTCACTTCATTCAGAAGCATAATGTGAGTGTTTTAACAGCACATCCGGAAAGGTAACAAAACGTGACGTGTCTTAAGCACATACCCAGAGCCTATTTCACCCACATTGCAAACAAGATTATTTGCCATCTGCCATGAGGAGGAGGAGTTACAGTTGACAAATTGATGTGTTTCAAATTGCACTAAGCATGTTTGAAATGTTATTTTGCCGGCTAAAGGAAAACAGACCAAGTCCAAAAAATAGAGAGACTAAATCCTATTTGTTTATTGGTTTTTTTGAGCAGTAAAAACATGATTATACATTCACAAAGTATAATGAATAGGCCATTAATTAATCCCTTAATTAGACCGTGGTGCAAAGCACCAGATTTTCACCCTTGAATTAAATTTTCATCCACAGTTTACGTGGGTAAGATTTTTTTAAAAATGCATACCTCTGAAAGGTGATGAGTTTGCAGCTGGGGTTTAGTTGCTATACAACACTCTAACCTCCAAACAGTGAAGGTAAGTAAAATGGCCCTACAGTTAAGACTCTCACACTGAGCTGATATAAATGTGCTAATGTGAACGCATGACAGACAGACAAAGAAAAGATAATCTTGGTTTACGAAACTCTCATAAGAAGTCTAACTTCTCTCATTACTCCACTTTATGTTGAAAATAGTTGCTCCTATCTTAAAAAAATGTTGTATAGTCTTAGAAATTTCACATCATTAAAATTATTCACATATTGTATTTCCTGATTGCTGCAGCCGTACTTGAGAAAATTATGCAGCTGGAAGACTAGTCTGCTATCAGACAGGATCATGGCATTGACCCTGTAGAATTTTAAGTTCTGTAATTTGTTTTTTTTTACCTTAAACGAAGCTTGGAAGTCTTAGTCAAGTCTCTTTCCTTCTCTTTCCGCTGTCATCTGTAAAGGCTTGTTGCACTTATACATACTCATCTTTTGTGTTATTGGTTTAATCAATCTGTCATTCAACAATGTCCTTGCAGAAATTCACTCTAATGCTCATCATACCACTACATTTATA